CACGCACATGCGCTCACACACACACACACGTTTTCTTTAAAAAAAAAAAAAAAATGTTAAAAAAAAGTTTAATCTAACTCTAATTCAAAAACCTGTAATTTATAACTTTGTATTAGTTAGAATATAAGTGCATGTCCTTTTTTATATCTTTCCTTGTACACCACTTTTATCATTTTAAAATATGTTACTGAAGAGCGGGGCCTCCTAGCACAGGTATATCTTTTACTTAAAAGGAGGTCTCTATTGTAAGATTCAATGTAAAGTTGTACAAGTTACTGCAATAAAACATTTTTATTTTTATTTATTTTTATCTCTGTCTGTCTTTCTGTCTTTTCTTGACGCCTAAACTACCGAACCGATTTTACCGGTACAGACATAGTTTGGAGTTTTTATACCAAAAATCTGCAGGAAGTCTGATACGATAGCTTTCTTTCTTGTTAAGAAGATATGACAATAACAGTCATAATGATTCATCTCAACTTCTTATTGATAGAGTGAGTCTCCCAGATGGCGAGGTGTTGTGTAACGAAGGTACATGTGAGGTGAGGGGACAGCCGGATGCTGCGCGTCCGTGCAATTGTGTCTCTCCCGCGCTGAAGTAACTACCTGTTACTGTACACACACCGGACAAAACTGATTATAATAGTTTTACCAAACAGTTATTTTTTATCTACGTACAGTGATCGCTGCCGCCACCCGCAACATCACAACGAATGACGACAGCCGGGGTTGCCTGACAAAAAAAAGTGCCGTGATGGCCTTTGTAAATCGGAGGGCAGGCCTACAAGAATTTCTGTGTAAGTTAAATTAGTATTTGTCTCACGTAATTAAATGAACAAACATAATCAAAATAAACAGAAAAGGCAGATGACCATAAGCTACAGTGTCGCCATCTATGTATGAAAATTTATCTTTTTGTTTACAGTAAACTACAGTGTACCCCTTTTTGACGATATGCATGACATTTTCTTTCATTATTTATTTTTTAGTGTATTGCGTTTTTTCTCCTTTGTTTAGAAATAGGTATAACTATTTGCGAATGATAGAGTGGATTAGCTAACATGGTACGCGGTTTTGATTCCCAAACTAAAGATTACCATATTAGCTCATCCACTCTGTCAGCCGACCATTAAATAGAAGCCGGTTTAATTTTACGATTCGCATGTAAGCCATGAATGTTTACAGCGAATAATTTGCACTTCATCTGCCAATCTTGATTGCTCTCCTAGAACTGTTCGATTCTGATATTTGCGTCTTGTGTGACGTAAAAACATTTACCGAGGGCAGTGTTTAATTGCGTTGTATGTACGCGTAACTTCCTGAGTTAACTATTTTCGGTACTTTTGTTTGCAGTTTTGAGTATTATTGTATTTAGAAGTTTTCGGTTATGGGCTCGGTTTTTAACACATCAAATAGTAATAGTTAACTTCTGGAGTATCAAATTACATCACCAGCCTGTAAGTGCCCACTACTAAGCAAAGGCTTCTTCTCACACGGAGAAGGTTGAACAACGCTTTCTCAAGGCGAATTGACGATTTCATGATGTTATCTTTCACCGTTGACTTCCGTCTTACTTCTGGAGTATAGTCCCTCGCTTTACAGTAGGAGTTTGCTACAATCTGCATGTTTAGCTGACGGGTTGAAGTAAGCGTCTGAACTGTTTGTCGAGTTTAAATTTTTTTATTAAATAATTTGTCAAAGTTCACACGGCCTGATGGTAAGTATTCGACGCCGCCCATGGACATCTGCAACTTCGAAGAATTACAAGTTCGTTGTCAGCCTTTTGAAGGTTAGGGCATGGAAGTAAGAAACGCAGCGAAATAGAATGACAGAAACAAATTATTGATTGTGATCATAAGAGGTCTTCAATGACTTAAGATCCTTCACGAAAATCTGTTATCAAATAAAAATCAATTACTTATTCAGGGAAAAAAGCTTTATCCCAACAGACATAGGCATTTCACAAATGTTAGCCTACAACGTTAATTAATTAAGTAAGGAAAAAACCAACAAGACTGACGGTAAAGTAATAACAGTAAAATCGTTTAGAATTAGCCTAAAAGCCATTGCTGCGTTCTAGGCAAATTAATTAGTTATCATCTATTTTTGTTTGCTTCGTACTTTTATCATTAAACGCGTTGTCATATGGTGACTACTATCTAATCTATAATAGATGAGACCCAATAGGAATGATGTTCGGCTAGGGTTGCGATTTAAACAGGAAAAGAAAGAGGGTGGATTTCAGTCAGTTAAAGTCTGATATTCTCTTTTGACCCACTGACACTTGACCACACTTGACCAGATGAGAGGAGTTATTTCATCATTTTCCCATCAAATTATTTCTCCCGCACCGGTCAGATTCACCAGTCAGCCTGCCTGCCTAAACCACTCTGTTCCTTCTATTACAGGGCCGGGGCTCTTGTACCTATTAACGCTTTTTTTTGTGAGGGGAAAATCATCAAATGATTTCTCCCGCCATGGCGGGAATGTCAGACTCTTACTGACTAAAAACCCCTCCGTTCCTTCTCCTGCTCTGGGCCGTAGTCTCGGTGCCTCATTGCGCTTACCCCGCCACCCCATTTGAACATCAACCCTATAGGGCTCCGTCTGTGGTGGTCTATTGGCTCATTGAGGCGCGCGGGGAACGCTACATGCCATATGTTCAGGTCTGGTTCTAGTCGGGCGGCGAGCAACCCTTACTCGCCGTCCGCAGACCTGTGGTACGTTTTAACGCTTGCACCCTCAACCCCGGCTGTGAGGTTGAGTCACATCAATAAGTCTTCTAATAAAATAAAACTTTGGTGTCAACCTGCTACGAATAGCCGTAGCCGTTTGTACTACGCAAACGCTACGTTGTAGCTATGGGTCTGAAAATTGAAAACAATATTTTGTCTTCAAGCGAGACTTCAAAAAATACGTCTATTTTTACATGAGAGAGTTATGTTTCACCGGCTGCAGTGTAAAACAAAGCTCGCGTTGTATTTCGCTAAATACCAGCAATTCATCTTCTAATATTAAGTTGTCCATGCACCGAATGTTTATGATCAAGACACCAGTCAGCTGGTTTACCTCATAAAAATAAAGTTATTAGTGACTAATGACTGCACGGTTGGCGCCTTGGCTGCCGCGCAACATGTCGCGTGACCGATTCCCGTACGGAACAACTCTTTGTGTGATCCACAAATTGTTGTTCCGGGTCTGGGTGTGATGTTTATGTGAAGTTGGACTCAGAAAAAATATACCAAATGTTGGGCAAGGATTTAAAAAAAAATAGGGAGACAAAATATGGGAGAGTGAGTTCGTCGTGTGCGTGTGCGCAGGATACGATCAACGTTAAGTGAGGACCGCGGGCGGCGCGGAGGAGGACTGTAATGGACCGGCACGTATCTGTATCACAATCTCGGGTTGTTACACCTTGCACTGGGTCGGTCAATGGAATATTTCGTCGAAATCTCGGAAAAAATGTAACAGAAAAATATTTAAAAAAAGTTGAATGCTAGAAAGATTATGTTGCATTTCTCTTGAAGGTATCTCTTCAGCGAAAGATTACTCAATACTTCAATATATTTATTGCATTTCACAATTCGAATTTAGGTGGTAGGGTACATAAGGATTCCCAGATAGTAGGTATTCTACAATTTGAGACGTAGAGGTATCCTATTATTTAGGGAGAAGCTGTCCTACTATCTAGAAATCTTAATTTTAATCAAGATAGGTATTCGCATCGCATTCGCATTGAATGTGGAGTGAACCCATCGTGAAATATTGGATATTTCTCCAGTGTGGTCAATATTTCTTCATTTATTCCCTTTTCAAAGAGACGGTTGCTAATTAAATCATTGACTTTGCTCTAGAATAAGAACATGCGTCATTCTAATTAGGCTAAGCATTGGAAGTCATGATGAATGACGCGACATATTTGAGTTCAGTTCTTGTCGGTAAAATTATTTATGTATTTATTTACTGACCTGACGATCTCCGTAAAAAGTTAAAAAAGTTTTTAATAATCTCAATTTTCTTTAACATACATTACGCACGATTATATGTATATAGGTTTAATGCTTATACCAAAAATTGTACATAGGTAATTTAATGCCTAAAGAATTCTCTCACATTTTAGTTAGTTTATTACTTATATTTTAACATTAATTCATATTTTTATCTTCAATACAGCTCAGTAAATCTCTACTAGAAACTAAATGTACCAAAAATGTTCCATGTCCAATCTTTAAGATGGCCTCCAATGGCGTAGTCACCTAAAACGTTTATTTATCTTCATAATCCTTTTATATCGTGGCTTTTATTGATGGTACTACGACTGTCCTATTTGACCACTTGTCCCTAGGAGCAGCATCATCATTCATTGTATACTCCATTGTGAAGACACAATGCTCGAGGTCGATGGCATCAATGGATGGAATGTAGATTAGGTCTTTATATTTCCTTTTAAATCTTATATGAGTAGTCCCTATTGCACTACATTTACAGCTATAAAAATAACACAAGTTCTTTTTAAAACCTTTTTCTCTAACTCATTATAATATAAATTTGGAAATCTGTAATATTTACATAAATCTAAATGATAGATGTCAGTCAATCGAGTTAAAAAAATCATGATTCATTATTATAAATATTTTAATGAGAAAAGCTCGATGTAAAACCTCGCATTACTGCGGCTCAAAAGACCTAGATAGAAACGATCGAATTCCTTACACAAGCCCCACATGTCTTGGGTAATAAAAATCCATAAACAACAAAGTACTGGAAATCACGCGATGTAACAAACGTACGTATAAAACCAACATGGTAGAGATACGTTGAAAGATTTGTTTAGAAAAAAAACTGGTAAAAACTCGTTAAGAATTTTTAGCATGTATCCTAACAGTAATCTGTTGTTAACGAGGAATCGCCGATACTCAACAATATGTAGCAGACAATTTGTTAAAGTATTAGAGCAATTGAATAAGCGGTGCACATTCATAGTAGATATAGCATCTAGCGTAGTGTGGATAGTCAGTGGGCCGCCGGTCGCAACCGTGTGCGGTACGCAGTGACCCGAACCGGTGATCACCTGTTCCAACTTAACAAAATGGCGTTCTATTTAATTTGCTTTTTGGCGGTAATATGCAGTTTGCTACAACAAGGTTTGTGCTTTATTCAATTATGCGACCTCATTCGTGTTTCCCGTTTCGTGGCGATTTTTACGCTGCGAAATTTTCTTGGTCCTTCGAAACTTTTCTTAGCAACTTGATGACGAACTTTTCAGTTTTCTTTGCATGCGTTTAGTTGTTTGATTTGTTGTAGTCTAAATATTTCTCTGGATATAAGTCTAGTCTTTTTTCTTTAATTTTAATAGATATATTTATACATTATGTTATTTTTACATTGTCTGGACTTGAAAAGAGACTGACCTCTGAGTTTGTTTCGGCATTTCTTCTCAGAGTAGTCAGATAGGAAATGCCGGCTTCATCTAGTTTTTCACATATAAATTGACGTGTAAAAGTGCCGTTTTATGGCCTATTTGCAAAAATAAATTCATTGTTTCATTGTATAGAACGGAAATTTGAAAAGTAATAAATTGTCGACTTTTAAACGAACTTCGAAAAGAGGTCCTTTTATCCAAGAAACATGTAGTAGTGACTGATTTTATAATATGTTTATATATACATTTTTTTATTTTCTTTATTTAAAATGCTCTTATATGGTAACAAATATTTTATTACGTTAATGATTTAAATTTAGATTTTTGATAAACTGTAACTCGTTACAAAGAACCTTTTTCTTGAGATATTACTCGCATTTTCCTTAGCATGTTGTGTGCTTATTAGCCTCATAACGAATTGAAATAAATAAAACATACACTTTCATAGATAAAAAAAACTTGCCATATTACTTTTCTTAAGTGATTTTATGTTACACTTACTTAAATTTATTTTACACAATTTTATTATAAACATAGACAATACGGAATAGACGATAGAGAGATAGAAGCTATCTTAACTTTTATAAATACACAATAAAAAAATGTTTACTATAAAGTCCGTTGCGGAAAAAAAACATCGTTTTTAAACTTATCTATGACTATAAACTGCCATTTGACTTATACTTTTTTATGTCAAGTCTTTTTTTAAACTAATAAGTAGTTTGACCTGACGGATAACCTGATGGTGAGCCATCGGCACAGCCTTTAAACACACACGTGCATTGTCGGTCTTGTGTGTTTTTTTAGGGTTTTGAGGATACATTAGGGGAGCATTTGGGGGTATAGATTGGGGAGTGGGAAAGGATCGGGGCCTCCAGTAACCTCACAAGACGTAAAACTACGCGAGAATTGATTCACGCCGGTTTTTTGTAATGTCGTGGTGTCACACTCCGATCCAGTCGGATTTGTGTCGAAGTGTAGCTCTCCCACACTTTAATGTTCCTCGTAAATTAAGAGTCTAATACAATTTTCATGTTTGGCAGGCGTATTGGACATTATTGTTCATTTATTTAGAATTATTAGAAAATGGCACTGGTTCTCGGTAAAAAGTATAAAAGTCCTTTAGTCAGTTCTTCTGACAACCACGTGAAGAATAGTGTTATCAGAAAAATGTGTCCTACTGTTGACATATAATACACATATTTGTGTAAACTTAACGAATGATTTCATAAGCGGTGTACCTAAGGACCAAAAAAACTTGCATTAGCTTAGAATGTTAAATTGCAACAAGGTATTACTGATTAGTAGCTCATAAAGCTACACGTCATATGAGGATGCGGGTTCAAAACCTGGCAAGTACCAATGTGACTTTTTCCAAGTTATATATATGTACTTGCTATGATTATTTAGACACCACTGACATACGGTGAAGGAAACACATCGTGAGGAAACCTGGACTTATAATTTTTAATTGTAAGTTTGTAATTGCCAATCTGCATTGAGCAGGCGTGGTGATTAACGCTCAAACGTTCTCCGTGTGCGAAAAGGCATTTGCTCAGCAGTGGGCACTTATAGGCTGATGATGAAACCTACACAGTTCTGTCAAGATTTTCAATGTTACTGTTTTGTAATAAGGTTGAGAATATTTTATAAGATCTTGACGGTATCGAGTTGCTTGATGTGTTGGCAAAGATAATAAGATACAGTAGAAACCAACGATATAGAACAGGGTTTTATTGGATCTCGAACAAAATGTAAAATAACAACATAAATGTATGTGTATTTAATTGTTGGCGAATTTTAATGTAGTTATAAGTTAACCAACCTTTATAACCAAAATACTACTGGTGATAAAGGCATTTAATATAACATCTTATCTTATGTTCTGTTATATATAGGTATATAAATATGTTCTGAAAAGTACATTTAAACAAGAAACATTTGTGCGTCTCTTAAGACCAAACACTATTCGCAAACATTGTATGGTATGGAAATAGCCCTAGATACGTTTCATTTCATAAATCGATAGAAAAAGTAGGACGACGGGAAACAAGGTGTGTACCGATCTGTGGGAAGAAGAGGGGTTAAGTAATATTGATATCTTCCTAAATACCCTATACTTACCACAGGCTTGAAATAAACCTGATTCTGCAATAGTATAAAATTAACGACTCAAAGTACCTACTAAAGATAACGCCAATCTCTTCACCACTCATCATTTACAGTGGTTAAAAGACTAACTGTAAAAATGAACAATCGAACTCAATCTAAAACAGTTTCAGGTAAATTTTTGACATTTGTTGTTTTTTCTAAGTGGTATAATAATCAAATGATCAATAACCAAATGCTGCAAGGCTGCAAGCAGTAACAGGAACGCGTTGGTTTTAAGTCAGTAACAGTCTGACACTGCCTTTCGCCTTACCCAGGGCAGATGAACTAACTTCATGATTTTCTGCCTCAAAAAGCAAAATCTCTTATGCAAAGGAATCTGTCGTGTAGTGTCTTGTCACAGACAGTGATTATAATTAGTTGTGATTAATTACATCATTATCCTATGTATAAGTGCCTCCTGCTAAGTAAACTATCTTTTCACACACAGGAAGAATGAATAACAGTCTTCACCATTTTTTCTCCATATGGGTTCGCAATTTTACACTTATCTTGTATATGAAAATCAATGCCCCTTTTCGTTGCAATGTTATAACTCAACAACGCCTATACCGATTTATTATATTATTTAATTTTCGTCTTGAATTATTCGTGGAAGTCCAGAAAAGGATTGTACGTAGAGAAAATTTAAAGAAGTCTTGAAAAAGTGTACCTATTTAAAAAAATGCAGATTTCCTCACACAGTTTTTCTTCACAGTATTTAAGTATTGTTCAAATAAACTTAGATAGTACCTTTAAATCGCAATGGTAACATTAGTAGTTGACGGTGTCGAACCCACAATTTGAAGAGCTCATTATTTAATTAAGTACATATTATTCAAAGAAAGAACGAAAATGTGTTTATTCGGCTAAAGACTATAGGTAAGAATGTTGTAAAGCTACGTATTAATCTACCAAGTTAAGAAGGTACCATTAATGACTTCACTTCATAATCAACACTGAATGTCATCTTCATTAGTGTAGGTAGTAGGTAGGTACTGAACAGTTAGCACACGGTATATAACTATAATGATCTGTTCAGTACTAACATTACAAAAAATATTTTTGTAATTTATTTTTTAAGTAATGAAAATTTAAATTTGACTTCAAGTTAAACGCAATTGTATATAAAAGCTAAAGATCCGTAAGCAAACGTCATAAACTTAACTTTGTTATGTCATAGTTCGGCAAACGAACTGACGGATTATCTGATGGTAATCAATGAGCGCCGTCGTAATACCAAGTGCGTTGGCCTCTTGCGGGTTACTAGGGATTTAAGGATAGGGGAATTATTGAGGATTGTGGCGGGGATAGGATTGGGCCTCCGGTAACCTCACTCATACGGTGAAAAACAACGTAAGTTGGTTCAAAAGACGGACGGACGGAAAGATAATGCCATAAGTATGGCATTTTCGACCTCTAAACCTTTGGGTCAAGTTAATTGCATTTCATTAAAGTCAGAAACTATTAACTTTGACTTAGGCTGATTTTACAATACTCAGATAAATGTTATCTGAGGATTAAAATCGTTGCTGTCACTGTCTCATACAAACATACTGACGCGACAACATCATAATTATTCCCTAGACAACTTTTATCTAACCATTGAAAAATCAGCCCTCAAGAAAATAAAAATTGCGTCATCCTACATCAAAAGTTAATTTTGTGTTAACAAAAAATTGCTGAACTAGGTATTTCCTAACTTTTCTGCTTAAAATAACAAAGTACCGAATCCATTAATACAAATATTCTTATAACAGAAATCTTTTACGAATTTTGTACATATAATTGATGAGGTACCAATTTTATTTAATCAGTGTCACGTTGGGAAGCCAACGAAATCTCATTCAAGAAATTTAATCAAACTTGAATGGCATCAATGGATCGCGTGGAACATAATGATGACATTAACATGTTTACAATTGACTGAAATCCTTTTATTGAAGTGAGTGAATTGACTCATACTTTACAAATACATATACTTACTATGCGTTTAGAGACTATAGAGATATATCTTCAACTAGCTTTTGCTAGTCTAGTCTAGTCTAGTAATAAGTAAGAAATATGGTAACTAAGCACTGCAGAGCCCTAATCATAGGTCTATAGGTAGCTACTGCAGTATGCTCCTATAAACTATATTTAACGATCTTTTTCCTTCAGCATAAACATGCAGATTCTTCGCTTTGGAAACGTAAGCGCAAAAAATGTGTTTTTTTACGACCTCACATTAGATACCTCAAAAATTATAGCCTATGTGTTATTCTGATGTATAAGCTATATTGTGGTAAAGTTTCATTCAAATCCATTCAGTAGTTTTTACGTGAAAGAGTAACAAAAGTCCATACATCCACACTTACAAACTTTCGCCTTTATAATAGTAGTAGGATGTTCAAGGATTTACAAGACGAACGTAGTGGTAATTCCAAAGGAATCCGCTATCCCAAAAATACCGGCAACGTTCTTGTGTCTCCTCGATGTTTCGAGTGTCTAGGAGCGGCCATAATTGCTAACCATTAGGCGTTTCGTCTACCATTTTGTCATCCTATCTTCTTATGTTGAGATATTGAGTGTTTAATACAATTTATTTCCGAAAGAGTATCGATTACTTCTTGAAGTCTGCACCCATCACTTAAACAAATATAATTATAATAACTACCTTTCAAATAATATTATCTTTCATCCACTATTTTGGCTACTTTTTTAAATGTTATTCAATTTTAATTAGGTTCACACAATTATTTAAGCTACAGGTTTTACACATAGGTTAGGTCTATTCTTTAGTAACCCAACACAACAAATAGACATCATACTGAGATTACAGACTTGATTAAATAATAAATATTTTTTCTCCGAAGCTTCAAAAACGTTTTATAAGGGTACGATCACTCAACCCCAGTATTTTCATAAGAATAACACCTGATCAGCCCTTGATATTCAACTGCAGGAAAATAATCCCTTGTAGTCCCTTTAGAAACTCTTGCAGCGACGGGGCGAGATGGGGGGGGGGGGGGGAGGGAGAGAGAAATGTCCAAAGAGCTTATGAACGTAATTCTTCTGTCTACAGGATTAGCAATCACCTGCTACCAATGCAACAGTCACAACGACTCGCGATGTCTGATGACTAAGCTACCAGACTCCCTGCGACTGCCATGCGGACCCAAGGACACGATGTGCAGGAAAATCTCGCAGGTGGTGGAGTTCGAGATGAACGGCATGCCTCCAGACAGCCGCGTCATCCGAGGATGTGGTTGGGATGACAGCAGTTATAAGGTTAGATGAGAACCTACTACCCTATAAAAATTACACTATATTGCTATATTCTAATGAAGCAGTGAATGTATGTTTACTATTCAAGAAGAAAAAATTTCGAAACTAAAAGATCCAGAACCAGGCATTGAATTTGTCATACCTTTGTCTGATGGTCGTGTATTCGACTACCAAAGCAACACAGGTTTCTGGAAATAAATTCTCATTTTTGTCTTTGTATACTTATAGTGATTCATATTGGTCCTTTGATTCGACACCCAAAATGACATTTTGAACCTATCAATAGTTCATTCAACCTTTCAAATATAAATTGTTTACAATGATAGACATAAATAAATTATAATACAATGCCAAATATAACCTAAATATGGCAAACCTCTGTGGACCTAATCAACCAAAATCGGTGTACAAATAATTGTGAGTACATACTCAACGTAATTTATTTCGTTTGGTAAAGCTAATGACGTGCAAATTATTTTCATTAACATAGTTGCTTTTGTGAGACACAAACTCGATTAGCAAGTTAGTGCTAATTTAGAAGACCTTAAACTATTAATCATTCAGAAAATATCTAAACAAGTACTAGAGATAGTATTAGTACCTAAACATGTTTATGAACAGAATCAACTTTTAGATGATAGTATTCTAAAACATATTATAGGTTAGATCATAAGTGAACAGACAGGTAAATCTTCATATCGACAGTTATGTAAAAAGTTCCATTTTACAAGACCGCGTTGATGAAACATGGAAGTTGAGACATAAAACCTTTAATGTATAATTCCCAGGGCCGTTGCTACCAGCGCTCAGGTTTCGGTGGCCGGCAAGAAGTCTGCTCATGCCTGGAGGACGGCTGCAACTCTGCCTCCATCCCGGTCGCCGCCACCGCCCTCATGCTCATAACCTTCGCAATCCTCAGGTTCTAGTTGGAACACATTCGCCAACTCCTCATTAGCATCAATGTCACAATGTAGAAACACTCGAAAGAGAACCATTCCATGAAGTATGGAAGGTTGTGGAGAACATAGCAATTGAAAAGCTTGTCGTAAAACACCCACTGCCAGTACATGAATTTTTGACACACACATCTGTTAAAAAACGATAAAAAATCGCCTTTGATGCAAATATTAGAGACAAAATACTCATATGTACCAAAGAAACAATAATTGTTTGTTCGTGAACTATTGAGGCTTACTATTTTGAGAGCGCTAATATAGTTGGCGAAATCAATGAGCTGATAGATTTAGATGTTAACATAGATATAGCAAGTACATGTATAGGTGTTTGTAATTTATTTGTATGAATACGTGTTGCTATAGATGAATATGTGTGGCGTTAACACGTTAATGAATTTAGCAAATCTATGTAAATAGACGATAATCACGTACCATTCACACTTAGAGGCGTAAGTAAGAATAAACTTTATGTACAGAGGAATATAGTTTATGTTAAAATCAACATACATAGCATCGATGAAGTTACCAAAGTCACAATGATTGTACATTTTGTTTAGCGACGCTTCATTGTTGTGTTTGTAATTTGCGAATGTATTTATTAAAAGTTTTTCATGATCTCGACTTTTATTTACAATGTACTCATTTACAGGATTGTGTCGGTATCATTATCTGAACAGTGGAATCTATCAGAGCTATCATGTCAATTGACTGGATTTATTTTCGTATCTAGTATGACCTAATAAAATCACCTAACAATCTGAATTGACTTGTTCCGCTGTTGTTCAATGAGCCACGTCCTGTTACAAAAGTAAGGCGGCTTGCACTGGATCCAACCTTGTGCCGTGATGTCCTCTCCCTAAGTCAGAAGTGGCGTGTACCTGATACCAAGCTGTGGTTGCTAGCCCAGGGGCCGTTGTCATGTCGAGTTCATATTTCATCTTTATAGTTCTCTGTGGACTCTTTCATTACGGTCAGTCTAATTTTTATGCCTTTCTACTTTTTATTTTTGTTAAATATTACGTAATTAGTACTGTGTGTGACTTTTGATGGGGTGGTTGATTTCAAAGGAATTTAATAACGTTTTCTTCCTTAGTGTGACTGAAATCTGAACTTGTAAGGAATATTTTAGTGGTCGACCAGTAAAAATAGGTCGTAGTTACCACGAAGCGACGGAAATATGACTTAAGTGGTTACGGTCATTGTCCCTGTTCCCTTGAACTGTGAAGACGTAACGGAAAAATATGGTGGAATATTTGAGCATCGATTCTTTTATGTTTTTCTTGGTTCTTGTTGGTGAAAAATGTCTGAAAGACTAATAAGTAGGACGGATTAGTTCGGTAGCAGACATTAGTAATCCTAAGAGATAAGCTAAAGACTGAATATCCCTGGGGATTGACATACCTATCTGTTGCCCGATAATACTGATATTAATTGGATACTTTTAGCCATCATGCGGATTATTTTTAAGAACACTTTTCATTGATATCTTACTAATTCCAATATCGTGACGTAGTTTGAAATAAATTTTAGGACTTCATTAATAAAAATTGATACTTTTTCACAAAATTCTAAGTCACCCAAGCAACGTCTAACCGCAAATTGTTTGCATTGCGTACAACTCTAGAAATTTTATTACCGAATAGTAGTTCGATCGCGAGTGGTTTATTTTTAAATTGCTCTCTGTATACATTAGGTAAGCTTCCTCGAATATCTAGGGCATCTAGCAAATAAAACTACATCCTGTTCCATGGACACAATTTGTTTTGATTATCAAATGGGTGTATAATATTAACTCTGGTATTTGATACGAGGAACTCGTCAAAAAACAAACAAATCCCAGAGTGTAGACAAGATTTTTTTAATAGAATATGAAACATATTGTTAATAAGCAGTAAAGTTGTTTTAAAATATTTCTCGCCTAAAGGGTGAAGGGTGAAGGTCACAAGCAATTATTGTCAGAATCCATTGAAACACGCTATCAGATGTTAATGACATTGTTCATAATGAAAAAGGAAGTCAATTAAGCGAACTCACTTTTAGCGGTGTTAAAGATAATTCAAGCTTTTAACGTTGCAATTTTAAAAGTACCGTAAAAGATGGCGTCCTAATAGAAAGTAAGTTGGTTAGAAATCATTTATAGGTGAGTGGGTAGTGGAAAGAGGACGAGGTGGAACGAGTGCCTTCCAGATATTTTAGGGATTTGGGATTTGAAGACTTTGGGATTAGCGATGGGGCGTAAGGAGGGGAAGGATTGGGCCTTCGGTAATCTCACTCACACAGCGGAACACAGCGCTGTGATTGTTTCACACACTCCGGTCGAGTTAACACATTCTCGCCGAAGCATGGCTCTCAACCACTTAAATAAAGAGTGAATGTGGGAATGTATTGCAACCAAGAAAGCAAGAAGGAACAGAATATTTGGGAACCTTTGTAGATTTTAACAACATTATGGAAGAAACTCACGTATAGAGACAAGATTTTTTGCATATCATACTTTCAAGTTTATTTACCATGTTTCAGGGTCCACAATAATGTGTTATGAGTGCAACAGTGCAATAAATTCTCTATGCCTTGAAGCCAAGCTGCCAGATAGCTTGAAGAAGAACTGCTCCGACCATGACCGCGGCGTCACTCACACACTCTGCCGGAAGATAGTCCAGCATGTGGACTATGGAGTCAATGGAAGACTACCTGAGAGCAGGGTCATCAGAAGCTGCGGATGGGATGAGAGTAAATTTAAAGTAAGTAATAATATCTTTTAGTCTTATTTAGTAAGAAACAGGGACTTCCTATTTTGGTTATATATAATTCCGATCGGGTGTCAGTTTCTGCCTCTCAATTAGGACTGCCGAGTGCCAATCTAATCTCTGTACCAAGAAGTGAAAAAATCAATTTAATTAAAGAGGAATAAATCATAGTAAAGTATTCTCATATTAAAGTATTTCCCGAGCGTACGGCACATTGTGTTCCGCGCGCGCTTTCAAGAGCCAATAGACCACCACAGATGGCCTACTTATTAGGCTGATGCAGCGCAATAATGCACCGCGACCTCGGCCTAGAGCAGAAGAAGCAACGGGGGAGTTTTTAGTCAGTAGAGTCTTACACTCTTCACCCTGGGCGAGAGAAGACATTTAATGATTTTCTCTACACAAAAAAAAACATGACAAGCTTGTCAAGCCGATATTCTTTTCTTAGCAATCGGCACCTGGTAAACGGCCTTAGGACCACTTTGAAGCACATCAATCAGAAAAAAATCTAATTCTGAAAAATAATAAAACGTGCTAAGTAAGCATTGAAGATGGCAGGTCACACGTCCATCTATTATGACGAGGGACTATTAATTGATATTTTTGGTTTCAGGGTCAATGTTACCACAGAGCTGGTTACGGGGGCAGACAGGAAGTGTGCTCCTGTCTGACAGACTACTGCAACGGTGCTAAAGGGACCACGGCCTCTACCACCTTTCTCACCACTGCCATCATGTTCATCGGTAGTATCATCTGCCAATAAGATTAGCTCGAGTCGTTGATAACTTTAAAGTATATATGTTTGGTACGAATTGTTTCTGCATATGTATTAAAAGAAAATAACATTGTCATCAGTTATAATTCATTAATGTTATGTATACAAAACTGTTGTTTTATTTTCTAGTAACTACTTTTTTTTGTGAGGGGAAAATCATCAAATGGCTTCTCCCTCCCAGGGTCAGGCGGGAGGGAGTGTCAGACTCTTACTGACTAAAAACCCCGCTGTTCCTACTCCTGCTCTAGGCCGAGGTCGCGGTGCCTCATTGCGCTTACCCCGCAACCCCGGCTGAACATCAGCCCTATAGGGCCCCGTCTGTGGTGGTCTATTGGCTCTTCGAGGCGCGCGCGGAACGCTACGCGCCGTACGCTCGGGTCTGGTTCTGGTCGGGCGGCGAGCTACCCTTACTCGTCGTCCGCAGACCCGCGCTTACGGTGGCCGGAGATCATCTCTCGATCCCCGACGCCCGGAATGTCGCCTTCTGCGGCGGCTAGGGCGCGAGGAGGATAGTTGCCTCGCGCGCTCCGCCTCCTCCTTTGCGAGCATAACTGCTTCGCAGAAGGAGGAGATAGCTTCCCAGTTCCTCTCACGCTGCACCATGACCTCGATTAAGGCCGGGCGCGAGAGGTCGCCGCCGCCGATCGCTTCCCTGAGAACACGGCGGTGCTCAGCTCAAGCAGGGCACTCCGCCACCGTATGCTCCACCGTGTTCTAGTAACTACTTAAGTTTTAGCCTTACTATTGAGTCTTTATCAGATTTGATCCTAGACTTTGCTTTTTGCCACATATCTATCAAGAACCAATATTACTTTAAGCCGTTTCTTCTATTTCGACTGTGGTAAAGTGTTGATAAAAATTATGTAAAAATTATAATTTAATAATGCTTAGAAATCACGGAGTACGAACAAAGTACTTTATACTTAATCAGTGATAGAAATCCACTACGATAGCTTCCTCTTATAGAAAATTAGACTTGCGGTGAACCTTTTTTATAGTAAAATGGAAAGTAATAGGCACGGACCTCCTTAGTACAGTAAGACCATAAGGATGAAACTGGTACAGGTAACCTACATGCTCGAAATATAATGTAACCTGATAACAATTTAGATAGCACTCACTCTCGACGCAACAGCCAAGTAATTAGCCATTGTTACACAATCATATAATGACAATAATACGACAATTGTAACACACAGAAAATTATTCAACCACCGCGTAACTATAGACTTCAAACTTCACGGAGGTCTAATACTCGGATTTCACCGCTATAACTCAATACTGAAAAGCAAAAATTGAAAATGTCAAGAAACAAATGAAGGAAATCATATGGTTGGTTTAAATTATTTGGCAAGTCATACATCTTCCAACTCACATCGAAGGTAGTGAATAAAATATCATGATTATAAATATTCTAAACTGAAAAAACTAGAAAATAAGCAATAGAAGTTAAACCTGGAATCATCCAAATCGTGTTAAATCATATTGGTTAATGCGTAAGAATAAAAAATAATTGTTGTAAAACATAGACACGAATACTTTGACAATCACATATAGATAGGTATTATATTAATATTGTAATATGTATTGAGAGCATTCTTCTACCACCTGCGGAAGGACAAGGGTGTAAACAAATCGGTAAGTCCATAAAAAATTATTTTTGAATGATCCTAACGCTTTATTTGTAGAAAACTTAAAACGGTTACAGATGCAGAGAAAAGTCTCATGGCTGACTGCAAAGTAGTGCTGCTATTTCATTGCACAAACCATCAAAGACAAGTAAAATTTGAGAATAGATGGATTTTTTCCATAAATATGATTTTATGAAGTCTTCGACGGATACCTACTAGATTTGTGTGTGATGTTCGCATTACGTCATGTTCAATTAAGATATTGTCTGATCGATATCAATCAAGATTAATTTCGGGAGAAAATTTTCATCATATTTTCAAATTGAATTTATCTAATCACCATCTATTTTCTATGGCTCATCCTTTGATTATTAATATGTCTAGATAGAGTGTCAAGTGCGCGTAAACGTGTCAAAAAGTGTCGGCCAACTGTTGGCCGACAGGTGCTTACCCGCCGGTCAGTACATATCGTGTCGCTTTATTGTCACTACGCATTACGCGCGCTAAGGAAAAAACTAATAACAGCGATAAAATGACGGTATGTGCTATAAAAGTGTTCCGGAATTATAAAGGAAGGGCAAAAAATACCAAACACATCACCTATCATCAGTAATGAGCCAAGAAAATTACATATTAATTTTTTGTTTTTATGCTTACCAAATGACGCCATTTTATTTTCGTCTTATCAGTGTTGCCAGTTTCTGTTTTTCATTCTCCCAACTTAACGTCAATTTTCTGGGTAAATATTAGTTTGTTTATGGTTACGTCTACACAATTTCGTTCATGTACTTTTTAAAGTTTTACTGGTCAAATGCAAATTGATATCGAGTGCAAAGGGTTCCCAACTAAAACATTTTTTAAATATCACTTTTTAAATCGTATATTTTCCTGGAATCTATGGGTAAATATTATCTTTAGTATATTTTTTTAATTTTAGGCCTAATAATTTCGGAGATAAGACGATAAATTATATAATAACTTTTGAACAGATTTTTTATTACCCGACTTCCAAGAACAACATTCTACCACCCAATTTTAATTAAATAAGTGTCTTTAATTTATTTAAAACAGCACCAACTTCATAAAAATACACTAAAACTAAATAACACTAGGAACATACATACAACCCTCAACTTTTTTATTTATTCTATTTTTAATGTTATTTATGGGAGAATTTGTAGTAGCTGGTATCATTATTCCGTATTGTTTACGCACACAAAGACATAGACGCGCAGTGTAAAACGACGCCTGCACGCACACATGCTTGAAATAGTTGACTCGTTTTCTTTGTTATGATTGTAGGGCGACGCTCCATCTAGACATATTAATAATCAAAGGGCTCATCGAGTGTTAGATTTGGTACAACAAATATCAAAAATTAAATAATACTAAATACTAAAATTCGAATAATTGAGTCTTCTAAAATTCGGGAGGAATGTCGATTTAACAAATGGCGAATTTATATTAGCGTTTGATAAATATTTCCCATATTTAAAAAAAAAATATTTTTTCAACTGAAAACTACTAATATGTAACTAAAATGGTTCAACTATTGTAGATATTTGCAAGCCCAATGCAAGAATATGGTGGGGGCGTGTCGAGTAAGACGGGCGAGTATCGGGATGGTGGTCCCGACGGCGGGCGAGACCGGGGCATGCCCCACCAGGCAGACGGATACCCTCCCCAACACCAATATGCTGTGATGCAACAAAAAAACTATGGTTAGTAGATAATTTTAGCTCCTTTTCCTAGCAACTATCTTATTTTTTAATAAGAAATCCAAAATGGTGTTGCGCAATCCCTTTTAATAATTTTTTATGCTGTCAGGATGTTCCAGTAAAGATTTGTCAGACCAGAATATGGCAACCTACTGCCGCGTCGCAACTGGCATTTACGAAGCCACCGCGTCCAGCCAGCAGTATCAGAACCCAAGGTATAATCGACCAGTCTTTGAATTACTTTTAGCATGAAATATAAATTGAATCCCAAAATTGTTTGCAGATATAACAATCCATCGGCCCCGACTTTTAGTTCACCTCCTAATTCCCCTCTCGTTGGCCTTGTTTTTGATCCATCTTCACCCAACTACAGCGGCCCTGGGATGATAGGAGACAAAGCTGTCAACGACCGACGATCCCAGAGCTCCTGGTCTATCTCCAACCAAGAACCGATCGGCACTGGTGCGAAGAAGAAAATAGTGAAAAGCCAAGATAAACGCAACGCTTACAGTGCAGATCCTCGATACCACGAGAGATACAAGGACAACAGCACTGAAGTAGATCGCCAACGTAAGGAAAGGAACCTAACTTCAGAGTCCACTTCGAGTCTCGATTTCTTTGTCGAAGGAGAGAGAATGGTGTCAGAGCTCTGCAACATACCCGACTCGCGGGCGGACTCCAATAATCAAAAACAAAACCAAAAATCAACCAACCAAGACGATGACAAAAAGCCATGCGTGTCATCGGAAGTTCTGCTGACTGCTTTGGATAAAATTGTCATACATGATCAAATACCTAATCAAATTGTTCAGCTAGCTGTGGAGGCGTGCACTGATGCTGAAAATATAGCAATAGCCCATCACAACAGACCTTGCTTTAAGAATATTCACTCGATTTGTGCTAAAACTAGATCCAACGTTCAGAAACCCGACAGCGCTGTCGCTAACCTGCATTCTCAAGGGGTACCTTGGGTGATCAAAAACTTTATTTTCTCTTTTGTGAGAATTTTAGATGGTTGGAAAGGTGTAAAAGAACTACTCAGTGAAAAACATGACACGTTTTCAAGAATTGAAAATAAATACTACAGTCCCAACATAAGAGAGTGCTTTGTGCAGTGGCAGGCTGTTACAAAGGAAATGTTAACACACATTTATAAAACCTTTAAGTGTCTTGATCACGGTTTTACCATGGAACAAAAGAGTTTTACCCACAACTATTACGCCACCAACTCGGCAGCACCTAGGAATCAAAATCAGAACAAATTTCAACCAACCAAGCCGCATGCAAGTACTCCGAGGCCTGTCAACGCTTCACCGCAGCCATTCAATGCCGTTCAACCTCCATGGGTTCAAAACCAAACTCAAGCGGCTTCACAGAGTTTCAATGATGGTCCTTGGCCCGCACGATCAGGTGTCGCTTACAAGAAATATCCCGTGGTACCACCGCCAAACTCTCACAATTTCTATCCGCTGAACGACCAAGCTGACATAGAAAGCTACCCGAAAGCACAGTATAAGTGTGATCCATGCAGTGTTCGTGAAGCTAAGCCCCGGCAATCTTGGACTATCACAAATGTACCCGATTTTCGTGCTCTTGAAGGTATGTGTCATGCGGAGCAACGAGAACTCTACGCTCAATTGAAACACAAAATGGACGCGGAACTTGGCAAGGCACCAGGTCAGCCACTTTTAGGTAATATGCCTTGCGATTTGTTGCAACGCAGAGATATGGAACTTAAAGCCAAGATGATTCCTTTGAGCCATGTGGAAAAGACTTTAATTCCAAGCATGGCGGCGGCTGCCGAAATGAGAGGGTGCTACGTACAGAAAAACAATAGCTGCGGCGATACAAAGGAAGAGGCTGATTTTTTTGCGGCATGGGGTCAGATGGTCCAAAAAGAACCTAGCGATTTTATAACTCATCACACTCACAATATTCAAATCCCATCAAATGTTGTGACGATTTCAAACAATATCTCTGGCCCCGTACAATTCATCGATCCAGAAAATGATGAGTTTCACGAAATGTCTAAAGTATATATGAAGCCTGGCAGCTACAAGGTGCCTATAAAGCCGGCAGATCCAATTTCACCATTTGTCCAAGGTAACGCTCAAGATGTAGTTTACGACGGTTCTATGGGGGAAGATATAGCCCTTAAAATGAAAGTTCCGTTTCCGCCTGTGACATTAGCTCCACAGCCAAAATATAATCTAGAATCGTGGCCTTGTTTGATGTCCAGACGCACAGACGATATCTTTGCAGATGATCAAAAGATGATGCCAAGACATGCTATTCCATGTCTGGACATGCGGGCGGCAGACTCACTCGACCTTTTAAGTTCTATGACATCAGATCGTGCTTGGGAAGCAGCCAAACAATCCGCACCAAAGCTAATGGATTTCATTCATGAAGGGTCTAAGTCTGACACAGCTCGATTGTATGATGCATTAGGTCTAAGCGCAACTGATGAGTTCTCTGAAGATTTGAAACAAGTTAAAATCAGCATGGAACAGAATGATGCGTGGTCTACTGGACTGTCCAACCATTTTATTTCGAAAGATTTAACTAGTGTATGGAATCAACAAGCGATCAAAAATGATTATATTCTTCCTAAGAATCAAGACCAGTCAATTTTTACTGATGATACTATTAAACTCCTTGATTCGGAAGCCAAATTACTTGAACCTGATGATACTTTAGATGTTCCTGAGTGTAGGATTGACGAAGAGAAAAAAGAGAATACTCGTTGTCCTAACTTCGATCACACCGGTAATTATGTGCGAGATGACAATCAGAAGAAATCTGGTGGTAAGCCCAAGATTGCCGCATCAGGAATGTGGTATCATCCTAAGAAAAAGAAGCCTTTACCAGCTAACACTGTTAAGAAGTTTGAGGCAATTATTTGTAACCTATCTCAAATAAATGAAGCTGCTTTTATTCAACATGATATGGATATTAAAGTGGTTAGTTTTTTATTCATACAAGAATTATTTTCTATACATTATATCTTGCAATATCATTATTAATTGTTTTTGCATTTACAGGCTCCCAGATTCTATGAAGTCGTGAAATATCCAATGTGTCTTCATGATATATCGACGAAACTGAAGAACTCTTCTTACAATGAATATGATCAGGTCGTTCAAGATTTCAGGCGAATATTCAACAATGTGCGACTGTACCTGAAGGTAATAAAAATCTTTTGTCTATAAACATAAATCAACAGAGTGAAGACTTCGCAAAGTAATTGAAAATATTCATTTACAGAGCTATCCAGATCCGGCGATGAAAAAGAACGTTAATAAAATTTCCAATGATTTCGAGAAAATGTTGAATGAAGAGTTTCAAACCAAGTGGGACTCAAAGTCAAAGTCCCAAGATGTCGTCGATTGTCAAGATAACTCACATAAAAAGGATGAAAAGGATTCAGACACCAACACGACTGAAACCAAGGGCGAGGACAATAAAAAAAGCGAAACTAAAACGAGTGGAGATGATAAAAAGTGAAATAGCGCATTGTTCAACACATCTTTTGGTGAGGCTCTGATAAAATCTTCCTGTCACTAGGAACAATTTCGCCATTTAAATTTTTCGAGTATTATTTTTTGTTTAATCATTTTTTATTTATATATTTATTTGTTTGAACGACGAGGTCATCCATACGATGGTTACTCTCATAATATATATGCGATCATCCGTCTAGTACGATTCTGGAACTGGTCGATGCTATGAATAGGTTTAAAATAAGTAACCTCTAGTCAAATAGAAAATTATTTTTTTAAACAAATGTCAGTGACGTTATCAGAACTTATAATACATAAGATTATCAATTTAATATGTAAGCGCTTGCCAGTTTTTCGAATGGACTTTATTAGCTTCGAAACGGGACAAAACTTTCGTTCTCTGCTGTTTATTTCGTCTTCTTTCCTTGCACGATTAGTTTGTAATTTCGTTTTGTATATTTCGATTTTCTTATTTCTTCCATTGATTCCTTATAATAATAATCCGTATTGATTTTAGTGCAGAAAAACAAATTTATGTTTTGATGCGATGTCAGTTGTAATTTAGTTTTCTTTGTGCTGCTACGTCCGTAAAGTATTGTTCATGTCTAATGCAACCAACGCGTCGAATAGATGTTAGTTATTTTTTATATCTCTATCTGTGATGTATGTTTAGGTAAAAGATGATATGTTTGATAATTTGAATCATTTTTCACGCTTAATTACTAGTTGTACGGTTCTCTTGAAACATGTAAATAGCAAGGAGTAGATGTGTATAAAATTGAACTTAAAAGTTGTAAGTTGTCTTGGAAACCTTGAGCCATGCCATTAATGAATAATTGTACATTAATTTTTACAAAAATGCGTTAAATTATTTTAGAAAAATGTCGTATCGAGTCGTAAGAAGTTCGGTACACGGATAAATAGAAATAATGAAACAGTTATTTGAAAAGGATTTAGGATTGGACTTCTTACAAGTCGGCCATGTGCGTAAAAACTTAGTAGATTCTGTCTTTATATTATATGTACGTGCAATTTCATTTTTTTAGTCTAATTTGTTTCGTTTGGTGTTCCACATTGGTACTTAAATATTTTTTTAAATAATTTTTGACTCCATTTTACCTGCCATAGAAATAAGTGAATTACTTACGACGTCAATGTTCGGTCGTGCGTTTGGTTACAAATACAGGTCGTTAATGAGAATTAAATTCAAAATTTTAAATTTGACGACGTTTGAGTTAATTTTAAGTATTCATTAAGTTGTGATTTTATTATTTAACTTATTTACCTTAAATTATGGCAAGGAACTCCTATGATAATAAAAGAGTTGTTTTTTACTTGGTTGTTTGATTTTGATTTGCTATAAATATTTAATCAAGGTTTTCTTCCGCATAGCATTGCATCCATGCAAAGCGTATCACGCTGTATGTCGTAATATCGTGAACAGAAGTAATGTTGCCAGTGATTCATTGACTAGGCATAGTGTTGTTACTATTATTTCGGTGAAATTGCGATCGCATCATGGATTTACTATGGAAATATCCTGAATCACATTTTCCTACAATACTGTGTACTAACAGAATACAAAATTAGTTAAGGTACAGAGACCATGGCACGACTATGAAGCAATGATGATGGCAAAAAATATTAATGTATTATTAAAACTTATTTAATACTAGCGGCCTGCACCGGCTTCGCACGAAATGACGAAAGGGTCCTATTTCCTGATCACCCGTCAAATCCTCTTTTCAAAAATTTTCTTTCGTAGGAACCTTCCCCTGACAAATTAAAAAAAAGAAACCGCAAAATTAGACTTTATCGAGTTATGCGCTTATCAACACATTTATTACAAACATATTTAGAAATAAGTCCAGGTTTCCTCACGATGTTTATCTTCACCGTATGTCAGTGGTGTCTAAATAATATTAGAAAGTACATATAACTCGGAAAAAGTCACATTGGTACTTGCCAGGTTTCGAACCCACACCCTCATGCATGAGAAGCGGGCTCCGTAACCTCCGGCCCACCACGGCATCACACGGCCGAGGCCGCGGTGCCTCATTGCGCTTGCCCCGCAACCCTGGCAATGACAACAGTCTGGCTCGGAGCTGAAGAAGGAACAGGATGGTTTGTGATTAGTAATTCTGTAAACGCCCTCTAGGAGAACACATTGAATGATTTCCCCGTCCCCCTCAACGTAAAAAAATAAATATGTATATCAGTTTCAATATCCCTTATCGGTCCTTAATCCCTTAAGTCTGCAAATGACTCGATGCTGATTTTTTTAATCTGATTCACATTGTTTAGTCAGTGAATCGTAGGTAACATCAGCAATATTCTGACGACAGTGCGTTTAGCTACTGAGTCACTCCGACACTCATTTATGACACACGGATCATACATCTATTTAATTTTTTTTGACTTATTAAGGTGTTTATCGATATAAAAATAAATCGCAATATTTGTTGGTAAACGCATAACTCAACAACGCCTCGACCAATTTTGCTAATTCATTCTTATTATAGTCAAGAGAAGGTTCTTATCAAAGAAAATATTAGAAAAGTAGAGGGTAAAACTGGGAAAAGTGACCCTTTCGTTGTTAGCGTGATAGTTGGACCCGTGCGAAGCAGGGGCGGGTTGCTAGTTTATTATAACGACTTATTTTTCCTTTTGGCTAATAAGTAGTAATATACTATTTTGCCTTTATTTTTTATTTATTTATTATAGGGTCGCGCTTGACCGCTATCTCACCTGATGGAAAGCGACGATGCGATCGACGATGGAGCGCGCTTACCTACAAGTAACCTATTCACTCTTGACTTAAAGATACCCAGATTGTAACTATCAGGAAACACCGACTCCGGCAAGGAATTCCACTCCTTGGCTGTACGCATAATAAATGTGCTCCCAAAACGTTTTGTACGTATATGTGGGACATCCACCATGTACCGGTGGCGCAATGCCGTACTTCTGGTGGTCCGATGATAGAACGGGCTAGGCGGAATTAAATTATGTAATTCCAACGCACATTCCCCGAAATGCAACCGGTAGAAAACCGACAGGCTAGCAACTCGGCGTCGATGCTCAAGACTTTGAAGTCTCGACTCGACAAGTGCATCATCGCCAATGATCCTCTTGGCTCGCCTCTCAATAGATTCAAGCGCATCAAGTTGGTATCGGGCAGATCCGTCCCAAAGATGAGAGCAGTACTCCATAACCGATCGAACTTGCGCCTGATAAAGTTTAAGCAGCTGTTCCGGCGTGAAGTATTGTCTAACCCTTGCGAGGATTCCAAACTTTTTTGCAGCCAGTTGAGCTTTTGCTTCGATGTATGCCTTGTAGTTTACCATTTGGTCTTTTTAGGTGTTTAAAATTTATTTTTTAGACTTGTTTCACGCCGTTGTTCTGTGAATTTTTTTTTTTTTTTTATAGTGGTGCCATGGGGTTTGATTCATAATTGATGGATTTAAAACTACATTTAACTGATAATCATAATTGTGTTACCTAAAGCCATGCTTCATCACGAAGAGGCTGGATCGATCAGAGTCATACAATGACCCCACAGAAAACCTGCGTTAACAAAGGCTTTTATATTGCACTTTGTGAGCTACCCTAGTGATCTATCCCCAACATGAAACCCCAAAATGCTAGCAACTTACTCTAACAGACTTGGAACTCCCTGATGTTGGATGTTGTACTTGTAAGAAAGAAATAACTTTATTTGCATAGAACCCAGTTGTTATCAAATTATATTCGGTATATTATAATATTTCAGGCTACATTCTGCCTATGTTCGGCGTGCAAATATTTTTATAAACTTAAGTGGTGGACTTAAGATTGTCATGGGCGCCGAACCTGAACGTTTTAAAGACATAAAAAAAATATTTTAAAAGAGGATATTTTTTTAAAAATATCGACAAAACCACCTGTCTGATTTTTTTATTTGTATCTTTGTGATGAGTGTATTGTAGGTCACTACCGTTTACCATAGTTCGTTCGTAGGTATGTGGTATTGCATTATGGGTCTGTTATTGACCACAGAAATGGTTACCGGGTCACTGTTCTCTAAACGCGTGACCATCGGAGAGTCCTAAACATACTTGCGTAAGACTGACCGCCAAAAAATACAACGAAATGCTTGGTACCTAAAACATTTAGTTAAGTTGTATATAAAGGAAAGTGAACCCATTCTTTGTCACACATTGTTTTAAACCAGTACGTCTACCTGCGAAGCCGTTTCTTTTTTGTGTTAAAAGAAAATATTTTCAACTCATACTTTTTACTGGGCCTTTGGAGTTATCCAATGTAAGTATGATTTTTAATGCAACTTTTGTCATTTTTACAGTAGGTAGGTGTAGAATTATTATCCCAATTTTAGATTATTTTATATTCCTAACAGAAAATAAAACATTATTTTAATAATAACCATCTAGAGATATGCTAGGTTACTGAAAAAACTGACTCAAATATAAAGTCTTGTTGACTCGTATCAAGTCCTAACGGGACTCTTATTCATAACCGACTCAAGTAATTTTTTCTTTGTTATATAACAAAATAAAGTCGCTCGAAGAATGGACGGCCGAAGAGCCCGAAAAGTACTCGAGTGGCGACCAAGGACCGGAAAACATAGCGTGGCCAGGCCTCCCGCTAGGTGGAAAGACGACATTCAGAATTGCAGGGAGCCAATGGACGCCGGTGGCGACTTATCGTTTGACGTGAAAGATTAAGGGAGGCTAGGAGGCCTTTGTTCAGCGGTGGACATCTTCCGGTTGATGATGATGATGATGATGATACCAAAATCTTGTATGTGCCCTTTTTTCTTCTAGATGTTCTGGAACACACTTATCGCGTTAACAAGCCTGGCGGCGTACGCGCAAGGTCATGGCAAAGTGGTGGATCCAGTGAACAGAGCCTCACTGTGGCGAGTGTTCCCTGATGCACCGGCTGACTATAGTGACGCAGAGCTCAACTGTGGGGGCTTCGGTCATCAGTGGATGGTCAACAAGGGAAGGTAGGTTTATTTCTTTATTTATTAAATTTACCTACAACTGATACTTACACTTTTCGAAGAAGTAATCCTCATTTATACTCATGTAGCCTCATGGATTGCAATGGGTATTTTGGTAATGGAATATGGATAGTCTTTCTCCAGGTCTTAGTCATAACCATAAACCTTCATGTCAGTATTTAAAAAAGCCAAACGGAGCTTAACAGATAGGATAAAGTAAAACGCATTTTCCGATACATTGAGGAGTTTTTAAGTGTTTGCCTAATGCTGTATAACTGATAGGACTGTTTGGTTTTAAGTATATCGTACGCCAGATTATGAGCTGAACTGAGGTGTGTTGAGAGACTGCACGATTGTTGCAGTGGATAGGAAAACATCGAATGTGACCATTGTCGCTAAGTCCGTGCTCTTTGTGTAAATTACAAATCATTGTTACGAACCTGGGTGTGTGATGTGTAACGATATCGCGACAAATGAGAAAATCCCAGTTTAAAGAATAAGAGGAAATGTTTAACATCCTCTTTTCATACCCAACGAAATATTAGAAGATAACAATTAAACAAAAAGAAAAATGGTCATATGTATTATACAAGAAATCGAAAACTAAATTTCTGTCACATAATTTCAGATGTGGTGTTTGTGGAGATCCTTACAAAAGTCCACAACCTCGAGCGCATGAATTTGGCGGAAAATATGGGCAGGGGCTGATCGTGGCTACGTACCGGCGAGGTGACGTCATCACTACTAAAATCGACCTTAGCGCCAGCCACTTTGGTTACTGGGAATTCAGACTTTGCGTAAACCCTCAAGACAATACCCAGAAATGCTTCGATAAGCATCTGCTTGAGTTAATAGATGGAGGGACCAGATACTATCCTTCGAAACCTGGAATTTATACTGTAAGATACCACCTGCCTTCCGATGTGGTCTGTGAACATTGTGTGCTGCAGTGGAAGTATACTGCTGGCAACAACTGGGGCGTATGTGCTGATGGCTCTGGTGCCGTTGGTTGTGGCAACCAGGAGACCTTCTTCTCTTGCTCAGATATCAGCATCAGACCAGACAATAATTACCTTTAAGGATTCTTAGACATATTTTGAAGATCCAAATGATTTCTCGTCTAGAGTTAGTCAATTATCTATTAGAACCAAAAATAAATTATTTTTAAATGGTACTAGACTAATCGGTTTGAAGAGCTTTAGTTTACCTTGTATAATTTGTATTTAGGTATCAACTAGTATAATATAGTATATGGAAACTAAAATTGTCTTATAATTTATTTGTCAGAAAAGATCAATAGTTTAGGTATGTACTGATTATTTGAGTTTTTTTATTTATTAGCTATCAGCTTCTGCCCGCGGCTTCGCCCGCGTGAAATATTGATTTCTGCAGATTTTGTCGTTTAAAAACTATCCTATGGCCTTTCTCGAGCTCCAAACTATGTCTGTACCAAATTTCATACAAATCGGTTCTGTAGTTTAGGCATGAAGAATAGACAGACATACAGACAGAGTTACTTTCGCATTTATAATATTAAGTTTGGATTTATCCTTACCTTGTATCTAAGGTTCCTTAGTCGCTTGAAGTATTGTGTTTCGTTCAATAAACCTTAAGCATTTATTTAGATTAGCAGGCAGCTACCGGATCACTTTCAATCATTTCAAACAGCTAATAGGGTAAATGTATCTGTTGTCCGCGTAGAACAATCATTGCAATTTTTTACTTCGCCTCCTTTACGTTTGGTAGATATTTAATGATTTCTAAAACTCTCGGAACCGTAGCTTTGCCAGGGCATAGGTACACAATGGTATATCGCGGCTCGGCTTGGAGGAGGAGAAAGAACGTGGAGGTTTTTGGTCAGTAAGAAGAAACCATTTATTTGATCTCTGTGACATAGTAAAATACACATATTAACACTTTATCTGAAAAAAAAAGAAGAAAGAAGGAGGCAGTTTCAAATAATTATCAAAACTAAACCTACTATACGTAATACCTAAATGACTCACACTTCATGATTTCCCCCTCAAAAATGCTTGCTTTGAAGGGTTTCTCTGTGTTGTACTGTATTCGAATTTCATTTTCCAATGATCCTACTTGAAACTAATAACTCTACTAATACCTATTTTGAGTACTTTTGTAAAGTACATACAAAGGCAAGGCTACCACCTTAGTACTCGACTGAGTCCCTGGTGTACGTTCGCTTTACGTTAATTCGATCGACATGTGTATGACGTTCGGCGCTCTGATTGGCCCGCTCTAAGTTAATCAATCAATCAGAGAGCCGAACGCAATAAAGAAAACTCGCACTATAGTCAGAATTTTAATTCGATTCCTGATTTGACATGACCTACTGTCATTTTGGGAAATAATGATACCACATATAAAAGTCTAGTGATGAACACAAAAATCGATAAACAATCAGTGAATCAGTTTCAGAAAGGCATTCAAAAAATTACGGCTACCGAATGGTCTAAATGCGTATCCCATGTTGTCAAAGAAAAGGAAAAAATGAGTAAGCTAGATATGTTAATTGACAATAAATATCACAGACACAATTCATAACAAATGTTACAGAAAGAACAGCGATAGCGATAGCGATGACGGCGACAATTTATAAAATGTCTGTTTTATTTGTCATGTTCCTTAATGATCACATTTTTTATTAATTTCACACACAATTACAAAAGAAAAGTCTCAGATCGTTAATTAATTGTCAAAACTAAATTATCGGTTCAGAAATATTTTATTTCCTGATAAACTTAGTTTACGAGAGTAAATTTATAAACGAGAGGAATCGATTCAAAAATATTCGATATCCATATCGAATAATTTCGCAACGTCACTATTTATTGCGTGTCATAACGTTGCAACACTGAAATTGTCAAATCTGGAATGGAATTAAAATTCCAAGTATAGACTTTCGTGATTAGTTGATGAACACTAATAAAATTAGGGTTAATTTAAAGCTTACTCACACTAGCCACTCTATTGACTTATAGACTAGAGAATTCCGAGATTAAAAATAAAAGATTTGACGATCGATTACAAAGACAGCTACCTTATTATGGAGATCGGTAACTGTTTTCTAGCCGCCTGCTCGGAATGTAAATTAGATAAATCGCGGATAGTACGCGGACGCGATAATGTACTTACCATAGATATTTACTATAAAAGTGAGCTAAGTATTTACTTTGAAACTTATGCAGTGTCCTACTTGAAAGGATTCTACGAAATTGTTTTATTTTGTTAGGTTACCTACATTTTTATTGTTTCCATAAAAGGAAATGATAAGGTAAGGTACTTGACTACAAGTCAAATTCAAAACATTTTTTGAATTTTATTAAAAACATCCAAGACCCAAATATTATTGCGAACTTGACAACCGTCTTTCGAAAATCTAATAGGTACATTACTCTAAAAGGGATGATGATAAAAAATTTAAATCAAAAATCGATTTAGCGAGAAGAGAAAGAAAAAATAAAATAGACACATTTTTTGTTGTATGAGACAACAATACTTATCTACTTTTAAAAAACTAATTCAAAATTTTGGAAAGTTTGGTTGCCGCTCATTTCCTACCTATAAAATCAAAGAGGATAGGATGCCAAGTAAAACAAAAATAATGTAAAGTTTATCTACATACCATATTACTAGTTTGATGATTAGGAGTCACCGATCAATACATTTCTTTTAATACTGTTGTTGTTGTTTTGATGATTCACTTGGCACCGACTTCAAGATTATAAAATGGTTATTAATATTATTTTCTATTTAACTAAATGAAAACGTGTATTAATTTCTTTAGGGAAATTTTATTTTCTCTGTAGAAATTAAGCAGATTTACTCCATAACTTCATTGTAACTCATATAGGTGCGAAGTTTTCATCGATGTAAATGAATTAAGTCCAAACACGAAGTAGTTACTGTGAACCGTTCAGGAGTTCCCTGAGCTGTCCTTCGTTCTCATCGTCAGACTAATGACGGTCACGATTAATCTTGGTGCAAGGTGCTCACCAATACGAATCATTCAAGCTCAAACACAAGGTAACTACTCCAAAAAATCAAGGAGATCCCTCGACTGTCTTTCGGCTCCATCATCAGGTCGAGTTTGACCATCGGCAACAAGCCTACTAAAACAACATGCAAAAGCACTACTCGCCCGAACAATTTTCGAAAGTTCCCCTCGGTTTCCCTAGGATCCCATCATCAGATCCTGACTTCATGAAAACAGGACCATCTCGGGAGTAGTACCTTTCAAAAAAAAACAAGAATTTTAGAAATCGGTTCATAAATGGTGTTCAGTAATCGGTGAACATACAAAAAATAAACAATCAGCTGAACAAGGTACCTACCTCCTCCTTTTTTTGAAGTCGGTAAAAATGTCGTGGTGGCCCGGAGGTTAGCCTCCCTCTTCGAGCCCTCTTTTCAGGCATGAGGTGTGGGTTCGAAACCTGGCAAGTACCAATGTGACTTTTTCCGAGTTATATATACTTTCTATGATTATTTAGACACCACTGACATAACGGTGAAGGTAAACACCGTGAGGAAACCTGGACTTATAATGTCTAATTATAAGTTTGAAATCGCCAACCCGCATTGAGCAAGCGGGGTGATTAATGCCTGTTACCTTCTCCGTATGAGAAGAGGCCTTTGGTCAGTAGTGGGCACTTATAGGATGATGATGAAGTGAATAAAATATTTATTATTGGTAGTATCACGATTTTGCTTGCTTCTTGCACCTAGATACCGTTGACTCCTCTCTACATCACTCAAAGGTTCAACTAGAAGAGCATGCCTGTGTCATTTATTTATTTATTTATTTTAATAGGCACACAAAACAGGATACAATCAATAACATTACAGAATATCTATAAAATAAGTAAAACAGATCAAGACCGTATCCCTACACATGTGTACACTGCATGATTATTAGGCAATTATATTATGCAGGAAGTGTTATAATATAAAATATTTAATAACTTAATTAAATTAATTGATATTTGAATTAGATTGATTGATTAATTGAATATTGTGATATTGAGTTATTAATTAATTAAATATAATTAATTATAAATACTATTATAAATTTAATTAGAAGAATAAAAATTACAATTAGAATTTCAATTTTGACATAATTCGACCTATTTTATATTTAAATTTAAAAAATCTATGATCAAATATATCTAATTCTTTGCTATGTTCGTGAAGTAGCTCGTTGTAAAGACGACACATTCTTACAATAGGGTTGTAGTAAGATGTATTATTTATATGAACATCTAATATGAAACTCCTGAGGTGAGGTTGGCGACTTCTAAATTTAATATTAAAATTAATTGAGGATAACAAGTCAGGGCTGTCCACTGATGAATGAAGAATCTTGTGCAGGCACAAAATGTCACTCCGTTTACGGCGTACCTCTAGTGATTGCAGATTGAACTTGTCCAGTCTTTCCTTGTATGATGTTAGCTGTCTATGAACACCCATTTTACGGCACACTATGTGAACAAATTTCTTTTGGATACGTTCCAAATTATTTATGTGAACTGCATAGAATGGCGACCAAATAATTGAGTTATATTCTAATATACTACGAATCAAAGTAAAATAAAGCTATAGCTATAAGCTTTGCGGCTTACTAAAGTCCTTGGTAACTCTGCAGATGAATCCGATCAGACGTGTGCTTCTATTAATTATATGGTCAAAATGTGCATGAAATGTAAGCTTCTCGTCAAAGAGGATTCCTAAATCTTTAGCAACATGTTTACGTTCTAAGATGTGACCGTTAATATTATAGTTGAATAAAATTTTTTGGACTTTGTTACTAAAAGAAATTATAAAGCATTTTTGAATGTTTAAGTACATGCTATTGCCATTACACCAGTTCACAATTTGCTCTAAATCCAATTGAAGCTTTAAGGCATCGTTACAATTGTTAATTGTAGTATATATTTTAAGGTCATCTGCGTATAATAGACATGAGCTATGCAGTCCATCTACGAGGTCGTTGATAAAAGCAATGAAGAAAAGTGGCCCTAAATGGGATCCCTGAGGAACTCCGGAAGTACAGATAATGGGATCC